TGGGGAAATGAACTCCATCTCAGTCAGACCCAATACACCTTGGAAATGTATATTTTTGGTAGATATTTCTCTCTTTGCCTCGGAAGGTATTTCCAGTATCATATTAATCCTGTGTGACTTCCCAGCATGGCCTGCTGCCATTGCAATTTGTCTTTGTCTGCAAGACACAGCCTCACTGCATCGTTGTACCCAAGGGAAGGGAGAAACACTGGGCCTCCATGTGCCTTATTTTAAATGTGCAAAGCTGTGTTTTAAAACTAACATTGGTTCTTGTTTGTTTGGGGCAGCTAGGTGAGGTTGTTTTGAGAGTGGGAAAAGGATGAAGGAAAAGTACAAGTGCTTGTACTGCATCAAGTATTTCTAGTTTCTCTTCATTTTGGGCTGGATTTTACCAAATAGTTTCAGCTCTTCATGGAAGCATGCAGCCTGGGGAGGTGTACAGAAATAACTGTGCGAAGGCAAAAAAGTGTCCCACCATGCATCCCTAGCACCTGGAGGTTGCCACATGTTGTATCATCTAAGAGCATATTCTCTTCTTCATATGCCTGCATGTAGACATAGTGCAACTATTCACCACATCCTCTTCAACCCCTTCTAAATGAATTCACAGAATCACAGAATATGCTGAGTTGGAAGGGACTGTTACACTCAGGATGTAAACCATATGTTGCCCAGAGTTGTTACATTTTATTTAAGACTTAAAAAACTTTTTGGTTTTTAAACTCTAATTAGCATCTGGAGAAAGAGTCACAATTTACCAGTGACATCTACCTGGGTAGGTGTGGCCAGCACCACCCAGCTAGAGGCCTTCGGTCCCTCCCTCCATTATGTAAGTGGTACCCCTTCTGCACATGTGTGTGTACATTGGAATTTCCCTGCGCCTGAGTGATATGCCTTGGGGGGTCTTCCCTAAATGAGTCTGGGGGCTTACTTCATCACCCTCCACTTCACTTTCTCCTTCAAATGTCCTTGGAGGGCCATCAGCCAATAGTGAGATACCAATTAATTTTAGTTTATGCAAAGTGCTGCCCTCAAGGAAGAAGTTTTCATTTATCAGTGCTTGTTTTCCCACAACTTGGCAGGAAAAGAACAAACTCTCACAGGTGGCTGGGACAAACACAGACCAACAGTAGCAGTGTCTAATAAGGCACAGATACACTCCCAAAGCAAGATTTCCATGTGCAAACAGGAAAACATGCAGGGAAACAACAGCAAAGCCTAAAACAAGCAGAGACCAACTTGGGTCTAGGCTTGGGCAGGGTCTGTCTGGATAAAACAAAGATTAGTACTTTGCTTTGGTTTTCAGCAGAGCAGTATATCACATGGCAATATAGGAAAATACTTTATATCAAGGATTGTTCATCAAGAGCTTCCAGATGAGTTGATAGCACCTAATGTCTCTCACTTCAAGTTTACTTTGGCAGATCTTTACTTTGTCATATGCACACCTCATCAAATCTTCCTCCTGCAGACCCATCAGACCCTTTTACACAGTCTCCCTACACCAAATGTAGAATCAGATGTCTGTGACTCTTAATAGTTAGAAAAATATTGGGTTTCCTAATATGTCCATGAAAAAACCTGACTTGAAAGCATATTACTTATTCAGTACGTGCATTCTGACTATTGGCAGACTATGTAACACAACTCAAATACTTTCTAGAGCTTGCAGGTTCAGAGGCTTGATAGGAAGGAAAGCAAAAGCATTATTAGGAGCTTCTAAGAAGTGTCATGAGAAAGTCATAAACATCCCAAATCATTTACAAAAGAAAAATTAGTGCAGTTAGCCAGCGTAGAACAACACAGAAGGTTTTTTTCTAAATGAGAAAATGAGTTTCAGTCCAAAAGGAAACAGACTTTCAGCTTGCAAAGCTTTATGAGGGAAAAAAAGTATCTAAACAATGTGAAGGAAGACACTAAGAATGGTGTTCAGCTTATAGATTTACATGTAAGTGTAGATATCTGCCCATAACTGTCTGCATGTCAGTTAATTTTGGAGAACTAGGCAATTTGACAGAAAGAAGACACCCACCTTTGCTCCACTAAGGCATTGTCTACTCACCGTCAGGCTCCACTCAGGACACTCAGACCTAGACCTCTTAGGTGCCTAGGACACCCACTGGATTTGCAGGATGGACAAGAGTCCTGCACCTTCCTTATCCAGTATGAGGGTGTTAGAAGGATGCCCACGGTCACCTTAAATTGCACGGAGTTCCCATTTAAGAAATGGAGGTCATTCTCTACCAACTGTACAGAACAGATCTATATTGGTAGCGATGAAGGGGTAATACTAATCTGCAGAAACAACTGACTACAAATAAATCTCAGTAAAGACATGTTGTGGTTTGGCTCTGGGTCAATTTGCTCTCACACCCCACACACAATTACTATTAGTTGAGAGAAGGTTTATGCAGACAAAAGAGACTGAATTTGGGGAAAATAGTATGAATATTTATTACTAACAAGCTAAAACTAAAAAACTATATCTACAACAATTTTACTTAAGTAAAAGTACTATGTATTTACACAAAATACTTTTCCCCCTTTATATCAGTCCAAGGAGGAAAAGCAGTTTCTTTCTCCATTTCTTGGAGCTCCAGGTCTCTTCAATAACTCTGCAGCACTCTTGTCCCAGCTGGAACTCCTTAATCTCTCTCTTGCTCTATGTTGGCCTCCAGGCAGGGCTGGGCCTACCCCCCTCCTGGGTTAAGACCGGAGGCTGGGGGTTACCCAGGTCCTGAAGGTTTTTCCTTCCATAGGCTTGCAAGGGGACACTTGCCTACCATGGATCTTCTTCCACGGGGTTACAGGGGATAATGGCTTATGAGTCCACCCCTGTTTCCCTATGGAGGTCCCTCCCCATGGGAGAACAGTCCTTGATAGACCTCTCCAGCAGGGGTCTAGCATGGATCCTTTACTTGGATCCCAACATCTTACATGGCCGTCCTTGCTCCAGCGTAAGTCTCGTCTCTCTCAGAGTCACAAATCTTCAGCAGCAGTATGGATCCCACACACGGATCCTTCAACAGGACTCTGCCTTATCTCAGACCTTTTCATGAAGTCTCAGTTTCCTCATGCAACTTACTCTAGTGTAGGCTCCTCCACGAGCAACATGGGGTTTCCTCACCCCAACAGACTCCAACAGGTGGCAGGGATTATTTTTCAGTCTTTTCCCTGCTGAAGGGAGAGAGTGAAAGGGGGGAGAAACGGCCCTCCCTCTTTCGAACTTTCCTTCTCTCTCCTGCAGCTGCCAGTTTTGACCTTGGAGGTCCCTTATCTCTGCCGGAATTCTTCTGCAGTGGTTTCTGTTCAAGTAGTCAGTCCTCTAAAGTTTTTTTTTCTTCACTCTCTTACATGAGAGAAGGGGGGCTTCAGTGCCACACCTGCCCCTGGCCCAAGCTGGGGGAGGAGGGGGCCTTGGCCCACCTCGGGGCCCGTCGCCTCTCCTACATGGCTGCCACTCTTAATTTTAACTGCGCAACAAACTTTCTCTTCCGTTTTTCTTAACTATGTAATTAGCAAAGGCGTGACTAAGAGTTTTGATAGGCTTTTTGTCCGGAAATCCACCTGGACAAAACCATCCTCAGCCCTAGGGGCTGGCTGTAGAGCAAAACCATGACAAGACATCAAATCTTTTTTATAAAGATGGCTAATGATTTATTTCAAATTTGTTTCTTATCCTTTGACTTACTTTCTTTCCAGTTAAAGTTGAGAATAATGTCAAATCTTCTGATATCACCATGAACCTTACAAATTTTCCTGTATTTGTGCTAAATTTCCAATCTTCAATATTTCCATTATCAACTGAAAAATTTCAGTTTTACTTTCTGGGAAAAAACTTTGCATATTGAATATGGGAATTTAAAAAGAAGTCTTAAAAATATACCCTAACAATAGTAATAAAAAACCAAAAAGCGGATAATGAATATGAAGAGTGTGCTAAATGTTTGACTTCTGAGCTGAAACTGTGAGGGACTCAAAAGGAGTTGAATGCTTAGGACTGGAAATATTGGGACACCAGTGAGGCCAAATGAGAGTAATCACTTTGTGTGACAGAGATTTAACCTTTTTTGATCAAATGTATGAAAAATAACTCACTGCCACTTGCCCTTAGGATTCACACTTTTTAGATGTGACCTACTTGAGAGGAATTTTGTGCAACTAATTATCTTTTCCTGAGAAAATGGAATATTTCATTTCCCTTCTCTTTCTTTGGTACCAAAATGACTGCATTCCTCTTTTCTTTTGTCCTTTGTGAATCATAAACTGTAAGTGGGTTTTATTTTTCATTTTGGCGTGGGGAGTGGGTTACATATGGAAAATGCATTTTGTTTTGTAAGTAATGAAAACAAGACCTTGGAAAGTTGGTCATCCAGGTCTTTATTTATAAGAGAGCATATGTCTGTGTTTTGTTTATGACTCACTCCCACTTCTTACATTTTGTGTTTACTTACTCAAGCTCTTTGCTTGGTGGTATAAGAGTCAATAATTTACGTTCTCCAAGTGGAGAGGTGTGGTGGGTTGACCTTGGCTGGATACCAGGTATGCACTCAGCAGTTCTATCACTCCCCTTCCCAGCTGTAAAGGGAAGAGAAAGATGGAAAACCACTCGTGGATTGGGATAAGGCAGTTTATTAAGGTAAAAGCAAAGCAAAAGCTTGTGTGTGCAGAAACAAAGCAGAAAATAACAAGGTTTATTCTCTACTTCCCATGAACAGCGATGTTCGACCACTTCCCGAGAAGCAGGGCTTCAGCATACGTAATAGTTTCTTAGCAGGCAGCCATTGGAAAAAACAAATACCCCTCTTCCTGCTCCTTTCCTTAGCTTTTATATGTGAGTTGATGTCATATGGTATTGTTGGGGAGCCCAGCTGGTTCTGGGCTCTCAGTAAGCTGAAATACTGCAGATGGAACTTCTTACACCTGGCAGAGGGTTAACCACGGACAGTGGGGACTGTGACACAGTGGGTTTCCTGTTAGAATGTCAGCCTATTGTGTTAGGACATGTGGCTGTGTGTCCAATCATGAGTTTTTATGAAGTGGTAAACCAATGCTGTGTGTACATGTGTCACCCCAGAACTGTATAAAGGTGACTGCACTACTGCAATAAAAAAGCAGCTGGTATCCTGAAACCTATGTCGCCCCCCGCCTCGACCGCGACATATGGTGAACCCACGTGATTGCGAAGAAAGATAGAAGAGAACTCGATGACAAGAAGCGAACGAAGAATCCCTCGGGCGGGACCTCGGGAAGCTGCTACCGGGAGGATCAAGTGGCCGTTGGCCCCCCCGTTTCACTGCTTCTCAGCCCGAGAGATGGCACGCTGCTGAGTTGCTTATCGCTATTACTGAGAACCTTTTCGCTGCTGTTGAGGCATTGCCTTTGCTGTGCGTAAGTTATCGGCGTGTGCACGTATCCCCGCGGGCAGCACATGCAACCTCTGTCCCGCTTCGCTCGGCTTGCTCCGCTCCCAGCCTTCCTGCAGGGCTGCCCCACTCTCCCCCCTGGAGCGTTCTTTATCTCGCTCTGCGTCCCAGCTGCAGCCCTATGGAAACTGTGTGGCTGCGTACGCAACCTGCGTGCTGCCGTACGAAAATTGCGTAGCCCCCGCTCCTGACATCTCGGCTCCCTGCAGCGCCCCAGCCCGCTCCGTGCCCGGTTCGCGTCCCTCTGCTATCACCGGACACCCCTGACTGTGTGTGGAGCAGCTGAGACCGTGCCCTGAACGTGCCCTGACTCAGCAGTGCCGATCGTTCCGGGCAGACCCTGCTTTATTACTCCTGTAGCCGCCTGGCAAGCAAACCGCTGCTTGCCCCCCTCCTCCGCCTGGCTCCGCATGTTGCAAATTCTTCGTATCCCAGCAACCGGTGTTTATCAGCACTCAGCTGCTCACAGGCAGGATTCCAGCTACTGTTCGACTTCGCTTTTTTGTTACTTTGCTTGCAACTTACATTAGTACCTCCTGAAGCAATCTAAAAGGTTTTCACGTCCTGGATAAGGACGGAGAGAGACAGCTCGAAGAGAGCTGTTGGAGACGGGAACTCCGGTGTAGATTTTAAAAGTGACAAGAAAGTCGCAGGGGGCCGGTCCAGATATTTTGGAGACACCTGTCTAGAACAGGTGAACCACTGGAGTATAATAGGTTCCATGTTATCTAAAGAGGATGACTCTGTCATCCAGAGTGGCAGTTACTACTAAAGAGAAACATGGAATCAAGCTAGGTGCCCTGCTCCTGCAAAAATGCTAATTTGGAGCAGAGATCACGGGTACCAGGACTTCTAAAGTTGCTTTCATGGGAGTCATGGAATTATTAACTTCCTGACACCTGCTTTTTGAAGCACTGAAAGACTTTAAGAAGTCAAAAAATACCAATTATAATATGGAAAAAAAAATAGAAAAAATAGAAAAAATGAAAAAAAATGGAGAAAAAAAAAAAGGCGGGGGGGGATACCTGTCTGTTCAGCTAGCTTTTGAGGAACAATATTCTTATCCTCCAACAGTCTACTTTCTACCTGCCTGTTGTACACGCACAAGTTACATGGACAACTCATTTATGGACATTCAGCACTGAGAAGAAAGAATACCATTCTTGTGGACTGATGAAAGAAGGACTGGTTAATTCTTTGCCTATGTGTGTAATTGTACTGTATTATTGATATTGCCATGTCACTAGTGCAAGGGCCCTGTATTAGCTGATGCTGGCATTTTCTATAATACAAAAGAGGAGGAATTGTGGGGGAGCCCAGCTGGTTCTGGGCTCTCAGTAAGCTGAAATACTGCAGATGGAACTTCTTACATCTGGCAGAGGGTTAACCATGGACAGTGGGGACTGTGACACAGTGGGTTTCCTTTTAGAATGTCAGTCTATTGTGTTAGGACATGTGGCTGTGTGTCCAATCATGAGTTGTTATGAAGTGGTAAACCAATGCTGTGTGTACGTGTCACCCCAGAACTGTATAAAGGTAACTGCACTGTTGCAATAAAAAAGCTGCTGATATCCTGAAACCCATGTCGCCTCCCTTCCTTGACCGCGACATGGTATGGAATATCCCTTTGGTCAGTTTGGGTCAGCTGGTCTACTTATGTCCCCTCCCAGAATCTTGAGGAAGCAATGTCACAGTGCTGATGCTGTGCTCAGCAGTAGCCAAAACACTGGTATGTTATCACCACCTTTCTAGCTACCAATGCAAAGCACAGCACTGTGAGGGCTACTATGGGGAAATGAACTCCAGTTCAGCCAGACCCAATACAGGAGGCCAGCACATGAGGTTTGCATGCTGAATCTGTCATAGCCCGTAATGAGCAAGAGGAGATTCTACCACTTGATGGCTCCTGGTTATCTGCAGAAAATGCTACGATAGCAACTTTATTTGAACTACTGCTAGAAGATTAGCCTGTTAGCCATGAAGGGAGTGATAACCCTCAAATGAACTTTTCTTGAAATCTTGTCTGTTCTGGGAACTTCAAGAATTTCAAACCCAAATGATTGCTTGACAGTCAGGTGTAAATTAAGTTTGCAAGTAGATGTAGGCTGAGGATAATTTAGTAGGATGTTTTAATTTTTACCAAAAAGAAATTCTGAACTCCACATTGAATAATTTATGTTTGTAAACATATATATGTAGGGTTTATTTTAAAACAATTTTGTTTCAAAGGTAAACATGTATGTTGCTGTTTTGGATGTTATCATTCTATAGCAATACAGCAATATTAAAGCATAGCAATATAGTACTATTAAAGGATAGTAGTATTAGAGCATCTATAGCAATATTGTAAGAAATAAATAAGGCAGTTTTATTACAAGCAGGAGTTTCCATGGTTGACTCATGTCAAGATTCCTGGAAGCTGTACTGTTTGGGGGGTTGGAGAGCCATTTAGTGGTCCAGGACTGGTGGTCTGCTTACAGTTGCTTATTGCTACTTGTTGCTGTTTACAAGTCTGCTTGCAGTTACTTACTGCTGCTTCTGCTTGCAGTTACAGTTACTTGTTGCTGTTGCCTATAGGTACGATATAGAAGCAATCCGGAAAGCCTGTAAGACAATGAGACCAGCCAGAGTTCATTGCCAAGGGACCATGCAGCCGGGACAGAGAAACAGCGTGATAGGTCGGTTAAGACGACCAATGGACTGGCAAAAGGAAGCGCGAACTGGCCCTGAGAGACCCAATCAAATTCAAGAAGAGGGGTTATATCACCTTATAAGGAAGAAAAGGAGCGGAGCTTGCCATGGGAGGAGCGAGGGAGTGGTTATTTAAATCAAGAAATCTTAAAAGGACTCGTCGCTCCCATTCTCGGGGTGCTCGGACTTTGTCACGAGGTCGATGCACCCAGCGCACTGTAATTAAAGTTCTTTGTTTCGCTTTATTTGGCCATCTTCGAAATTTTAATTAGAGATATTTCTCACAATATGGCATTGTTAATATTAAAGCATCTGTAGATTAAAGCATAGCAATATAGCACTATTAAAGTATAGCAGTATTAAAGCCTCTATGGCAATAAAGCATTGTTAAAGCATAAAGGTAACACTTAAGGAAATGCATAAGAGAAAGAAAGGGAAAGAAACGATAAGGGTGGAAAGAATGTATATAGTCACCCCCCCCAGGTCCAACGATGAAACTTGGTAGTTGCGGCTTCCATGTCTAATGGCTGAAGTGGTGGTCTTGATCCGTTGGGGCTGGGGGAAACGCCCCACAAAACTCAAAGAATGTTATATGAGTTATTATACACTTCAGGTAGGAATGCCTTGCACCTCCCCAGGGGTGGCCTCCGACATCTCTGAAGACAGTTGCAGCTGCCTATTGTGCCAGTTTCCATCATGGTCCATTATGGTCCAACATTTTAGATGTATAGCCCAGGCTAGATGCACAAAGTTATCATGTAAAGGGAGGACACTGGCATGATAAAAGGGATTTTCCCACCTTTCAGGACTTGCCTCAGCTTTTTCCCTTCCTCAGGCAGGAATCTGCTGGACATTTATCTGATCCTTTAGCAGTATTGGGGGTGGAGGACAGGCTTTGCTGGGTGAGTAGCTGCTTCTTTTCAGTTTGTGGTGATTTTGGAATGTATAAGTCATTAACTGTTTGTCTTAGTTTAACAAGATTACAACTTAGATATTAAGAAACTTCAGGTGGAGGTGTGAAAAAGGAAAAAACCAACTTTTTATTAACAAAATCTGAATAAACAACAATCAAATCAATCAAATCAATTTGTGCAATCAAAAACTTTCAGAAGAAACAAAACAGTCCAAATTCCCCAGGTGGAAGGGGAGGGAAGAAACCCGTGGCAACCTGGGGCGGCAGAGGAGGGGGAGAGAAAAGGAGGGGGGAAGGCAGGACTGTCCCGGCAGTTCAACAGTTGCTCACAGCCATGTGTGCCCGCAGTGGCCAGCAATGAAAAAGTCCTTTTCCACAGGTAGTCTCAAAAGCAGAATACCTCGCTCTGAGATGGGTCTCTCTCTGTCTCGCTCTGTCTCTCTCAGTCGTCCTCTGTGAGGTGTCCTGTGGGGAAAAAACTTCCTCTCAGGAAAAGAAAAGGAGGCGGCTGAAACCAGGCTCCCCGCTCCATCCGGTCTGCAGACCAAACCTAAAAACCTCTGAACAAAAGACTTCCCAACCATGCCTGCCGCAACCTTGCTTCCCTGGAACCTCCCCCTACCCCCGCTCCCGTCCTCCCCAGCATGTGCTGCTTCGATCTGTTCCCCCACCATCCCAGAAGAAATAGATGGGGTGGAGGTGGACACTGGGAAAAAATTCCAACATCTCTTTTCAAACCTATGACACTGTTTCACTCTCTGACAGTAGTTGAAGTTGTGTTTTCATCTAGCACAGTAAAAAAGGAGGCAACTGTTAAGATCCTGTAAGGTAAATATACACAGGTATTCTTCCCAAGAATGCCAACGCAGTGGGAAGGCAGACATTAAAACTCTTGCTACTCTACACAGTACTGTTCGCTTCCTGGTGTAAGAAATAAATGAAACGGTTTCATTACAAGCAGGGTTTCCATGATTGCCTCATGATGAGGAGTTTTTGTGATCAGGGGTGTTCTGCAGTTGCCTGTGGTTGCAGTTCTGTTGAAGCCATGACCTGTTAATAGTTGTGATCATGTTACTGTTGCTGTATAGAGGCGAACCGGGAAGCCTGTAAGACAATGAGACCAGCCAGGGCTCATTGTCAAGGGACCACATGGCCAAGACAGGGAAACAATCTGATAGGTTGGTTTAAAACAACCAATGGACTGGAAAAGGGAAGTGTGAGTCCACCCTGAGAGACCCAATCGAGCTCAAGAAAAAGTCTATATTGCCTTTTAAGGAAGAAAGGGAGAAGAGCTGAGCATGGGAGGGACGAGGGAACAGTTATGCAAATTGAGAGACCTTAAAAGAACTGCCCCCCCATCTCGTGTGTGCTCTCAGGCCCTGGCACGAGGCAGACCTGACGGCACCCATCGCGTGCTGAGAATAAAGTTCTTTGTTTCACTTTGTTTGGCCATCTTCAAAATTTTAATTTGAGATATTTCTCACACTGGTTTTATCATCACTGCCCCTCCCCCCCGACTCTCCCCAGGCCACAATGGCCCTGTAGCATTTCTGTATCTTATCTCTCACATATCAGAGAGAGGTTGAGAACTTGTCTTGCTATGTAGGGACGGGGACGGGGACGTGGGGACGGGGGGGAGGGGTAAGAAAGCATTGAAACTTCCTTTGAGAAAGAGTTACCTTTTAGGCAGAAAGCCTTCCTTGTGAAAACCGAGTTCCTAATCTTTCCCATTACAAATTCTTCCGAAAAGCACTACTACCTGTGTAAACAAGACCATATGATGAAGTCAATAGTATGGATTTTATTTAACAGTAATTGTGAAGTAGAAAGATAAAAAGAAATATAAAAGGGGTGGGGGGGAAGAGAGAGATATCAAGCAGAAGATAGACACCACCTGTGGATCCAACGGAGTCCTGTTGGCCATTCTTCACTATGGTCTTCTCAGTGGTGGGGGTCCCAGAGTTGTTCTTCTGGAGGTACCACCTCTGTACAGTCCAAGTTCTGGGTATCCATGGGGTGGTTGCAGATGTTCCCATAACTTGGGATGGCATGTGTATAAGCAGTTGCTTCCTTTTCTACAGTCTGCCACAGTGGGAATTTTTGTCGGGATGTATTAACCAGGATGTGCTAACCAAACCTAACCTCCACTAGGCCTGGAATTAGTGCCTTCCTGTTGTAAATTTCTGCCATCTGTGCTTATCTCAAGTTCCCACTATGATGGCTTATCTTATGGCAAGTTCCTTCTGTGGCCTTAGTGTTTGAGGCAATTGTGATATTTAAGTCTCTTACAGCAACAGCAATTCTTATGGGACTGTAATAATATTTTAACTTTTTTTAGTTGTTTTTCTATGCAGAATCCTTTCTCACAACCATGTCTTCTTCAGTAGTCATATTCAACCTACTGGACTTGAAAGTATCTAGTCTTCATGTTGCTGAAAGAAGGCAAAGGAGAGTTTCCATTCACTGTTGTTTGACCTATGCATGTTTCTCTCCTTGTGTCCCAACAGTCAGTTCACCACTGAAAAAACGGTTCAAGCACCATGAAATTGAAGCAATCCAGTGTGAGGTTCACAAGATGTGCAACTACACCAAGATCCTGTCCACGAAGAAGAACCTGGATCATGTGAACAAGATCCTGAAAGCCAAGCGGCTGCAGAGACAATCAAAGTCAGGCAATAACTTCATCAAGAAGCGGAGGGGGTGTCCTCGGAAGGAACCCCTTTCCTTTGATGAAGACTCCAAAGACCAAATGCCCATTCTGGAAAAATGCATTGACCTTCCCAGCAAAAGAGGTCAGAGACCAACACTCAACCCTTTAATATTAGAGCCAGCAGCCACTCAAGATACAATCATGACCACCATTGAGGCTGTCATAAATATGGCTCGAGAGATGCCTTCTCTCCCTCATCCCCTTCCTCTGCCCTCTCCCTCCGCCCCGGATGCTCTGGAAAAGAAAAAGCAAGTCCTCACAGGAGGAAGAGGAGGACATGAAAGTGAGGTGGCACCAGAAAGACAGAGGGAGTGAAAGCGGAGGCCTTTCCTAAGGTTGGTGCACCTCGTCGAATGTTGGGTGCCAGTAGCAGGGTACACCAGGACTGCGGGACTGGGGACGTGTGGCCCGCTTCACCCCCATGGCAGCACCAGACTCATCCCTTTCGCAGCCAGAACCCATGACAGAGAGCTGTGTCAACCAGGGTTTGCATTTGGCCCCATCCCCTCCAGGAAAGAGTGAGGAAGGGTGTGGGAAAGGTGGGGGGTAAGGGGGGCTAGGTGTGTGTGTCAAAATTGGGGAAAGCATCTACTTTGCAGAGTTTCCAAAACTAATAAGAATCTCAGCATTGCTGTTCTCATACCTGGAGGCAGGAAGTCATCCTTGCTGAATGTTGTCACTAGGGCTGCATGCTCAACTCTGATTCTATTTGGTTGACCAGGTGAAACTAAGACTAACCTTACCATAATAGAAATCACTGTAAAAAAAAAAAAGAAACAAAAAAACAAAACAAAACAAAAAAAAACAACAAAAAAAGTAGTGTAATTTTCTCAACTGTGATCTTGGTTATAACCTGTTTGATTTTTTTTTCCCCAGTTTTATATACCTACTAGGCTTTGGAGCAACATAACCCAAAATGTCTGACTTCTGCTAGAACTATAAATTTCTTTCTCATTTATTTGCCTAGATACAACTAACTACAATAGAAAAATAGAGCCTTACACACATACATGCTCATTCCAAGTGCTATCCCAAGGAATGACAGAATGCCACAGCATTTAACATAAAGTATACATGGATATTCAGTTATGATAGCACATTTATATGAAGTAGCTTGGCAATGGCATGTGCAAAAAGGGTCATCCATCAACCAAGTTGTTTTGATGCTTGTTACATATGAGTAGAGAACAGTAAGACAGTTCTGGGGAATAGGTTTACAGTGAACATGGGCAAAATCACCAAAAATGTATAACAAACATAAAAGAAAAAAAATAGGACAGAAAAGAGTAAAAAAACAGGGCCCAAACCTACCAGTTCTTACCTGCAATTCCCAGTGAAACTAATGGGAAACCCAGGATCCAAATAATTTGCATTGGGTAGCAATGCCTTGATATGTTCTTTTAAAGAAAATAGATGAAGTAGATTGTTTTAAAAAAACTATAGAACAAAACCCTATGGAAAATAGGTTCTTTCTTGGCAATTATTTCTTATTTCTTAAAAAAGAAAAGGAATAAGTGTTCTTATCTGAAAATAAAAATGTTCAAAGGGTATCACCACTGCAATTGCATTAATGCCACTTTGGACATGTTCACCAAGTCGTGGTTGCCTTAATAATCTAAAAACCCATTTTTTTAAAAATTGTTTTTACATAATATAATTATAAAACTTTCAGTCTGCATGGATGCAAACTGTGTGTGACAAATCATCTCTTTAAATGGTCAGTTCAAGTTGTATATTTCTCATTCAAGTTGTCTATTAGTCATTGGGTAACCGTTGGGTAAAATACCCAAGCTCCATTTCCACAGCCCAATTAAAATGTTTAACTAAAACAAAGACTAAACAGGAAACTGTTCCATTGCAGTAACAATACTTTTAAAAAAAGAAGTCACTTGTTGAAATTTGAAATAGGTACTTTCAACTTTATTTCATTTCTTTTTAAAGTCCTGCAGTACACTCAATACCTGGCATATCAAGATGAATATTAAAATGGGAGTGGGGAGGGAAAATTCCACCAATGGAGTAGGGATTGGACTTATTTAATGATTCACAAGCCAGTTGCTATTCCCTTTTTTGAGAAATCTTTGGACTGGTTTATTGCCAAGGAAACTTCAAATAGCATGTCACTGAAAAAAAAAAAAAAACCAGAACAACAAGCCCTACAAAAAAAGTCCCCACAAAGAAAATATTGTGTTTCTGTTCTGTTATTTATTTACAAAAATCGTATCAAGACTATGGTGTTAAAGGGGAACTGTAAACATATGGTTTGTTATTTTTAGAGACTCATTTTTCTTAGCACTTTAGCTTATTATAACTGAATGCATCTGGGGTTTGGATTGGGTTAAGGGGCTGGGAAAGAGGATTTTTTTTTTTTTAAGGCTGGAACAAATCCTGAGATCCTATATCCTTAAAACTGATAAGAGGGATGGTAGAATTTTGTTTCTAATTTGTTTTGCATCATTTATCATGCTGATTTTCACTTTTTGTTTTCCAGTAATTGCAGCTTAGAAATAAACTAGCAGATTGCTCATTCTATTACAACCAATTTTACTTTTCAGCTCTCTTGAATTAACACAGTGTTATTGACTGAAGTTGTAGGTCTGCAGAAAAAAATGCTTAAGCATCCTTTGACCTCCTCCCTTCTTCCTTAAAAAACATTGGACCAAGGTGTAGTTGATTTTGAAATTTTTTTTCCATCTCTCCTTTGGGCTTGAAAGTAGATGACAGTGTCACTTAAAATGCAAGAAAAACTGCAAATTTGGTATTCCAGGTAACTGAAACTAATCCAGACATCAACTTATCCTTAGTTTTATCTTCAGTGATCTCTTTATTAACACTGAAGTACATTTCAATGTGTAGTGAATGGAGCAAATATATGAAAGGACCAAATTCTTTCTTTGAATGCCTATTGTGGCTTCAAGACATGTCAGACCTTACAGAGCACTGATAAGGGCTGCATTTGGGTTGGACGTTTCTGGATGCACTGGGATGCAACCTCCCCCAAGGAAAGATAACTGAGTGGAGGGTGCCTCCCATGCTCCCAGGCTTTGGGAAAAAATGCTCTTACCATTTGTGAGAAACAGAGTCTCGAAATATTCCCCAATTTGTGAGAAACAGAGTCTTGGGATATAATCAGTTTTCAAATTGGAATTTATTATATGGTAAAAGCAAACAGTGCTGGGTGAGCAGGAGGAGAACTAATTCTCCTATGCCTGTCACACCAATACAGTGTAAGGGTCTAATATTTAATTTAGACATCTCATACATATTCATTACATGACATACACATACATTTTACATTGCTATTTCGGGTATTCAACATATGTTTTCTTTCACAGTTAAGTCTAATTTCTTATCTCTACAACAAGTTATAAATTCATGCATTTCCTAACAAGAGGTGCCAAGCATCTTATTGACCTGACCCGATTCATCCATAATTCATGTCTGGGAAAACAGGAGAGGCCTGGTCTGTTTTATGTCTTTATGGGGGTGTAATTAAGTTTTACAACCTGTTTGTTTTCTTCTTTCCTGAGATTGTAATAACCCATTTGTTCCTTCCACACGAATCAGAATTTTTGTTTATTACACCTTCCAAAAAATGCTATCCAAAGTGCTGCCAGAGGCACAGTGCTTAAGGAGAGAATCCACTCAGAGGGTACAACCCCATAGACCCTTCACTGAGCAAAAAAATTAAAAGGTACTTTTCATCCCAAAGAAACTAAGATCAACATTCAAAACTTGGTAGCTGCAAGCTGTCAGCATAGGTTGGGCTCTATCCAAATGCCCAAGGTTTGTTTTTCATGGCAAGAAGGTGTTAGTAGAACGCAGTGCTGAAATACAGCTTTGGCTGTTTGTCCATACAACAGCCTGGTGCAGCCACTCCTGGGCTGACAGGAAGATTAGTTTGTTAATGTGTATAAAGCAGACTGAAAATGCTGCTAGATGACACTCATAATTTGCGTTCTGCATGTTGCATAGTCTATAAAGACGATAAGTAAGTTGCTGACAGAATATTATAAGGCGATGTACTACATGTAGATCATAAAGGATTTAGTTTTAGGGCTTAAGGCTAAAATCCCGCTCCTGCAGTTTATTACCCAATATCCCAGTAATGAGCTTTTTGATTTCTCCCCCTGTGAATGCCTAAAAAGCTACACAGACACAGTTTAGCATTGCTGCTGGGCCAAACTGAATCCCACAGAGAACTTTTTTTTTTTTAATTTACTGATAACATTCCCTTTTTCACACTTGGTGGAGGGATATGCAAACTACAGGAAGAGGGCAATGCATGGAACTATTTGCCACACAACTACACATTTTTCAAACTATACAAACTCTTCACTAACCACCTGCAACATACTGTTACTATTAATTAACTAATCAATACATAATCCTTGAGTGGAACTACTGTAAATAGTCCTTTTGCTTCAGAATTGCTTCTGGTTTCAGGCATATGTAGCAAGTAGCATGGTGTCCTTTCACTGAAGTTAGCAGTTTCTTAGCATCTCCTTTTCTCTCTCGATCAAACCCCAAGGTCATTTGCTGAATTCCTTAGTTATCTCTGGAGCCTCCTGCCGAACATCTGCTTCTGCTCTTACTTCCCCCCCCCCCCGGCCCCCCACCTCTAGGAAGATTTCCTGAAGAACTGTCTAAATTATCTGCGCACATTTCTGAGAACTGTATAAAACTGGGGTGGAAGCCCTTTTGCTTGTTATGACCAAAAAGACCTTTCAAACACCTCCACTGAGTCACAGATTAGCACACGTCTTAGCATGCTTCAATAAAAATGCAAAACAAAACCACATGACTGTGAGCCATATGAAATGAGACCATGGGTTTGCATCCTTTCCGTGGGTCTTGTATTCCTCAAAGCAGTGTAAAACCAGGAATGGAGACGAGTATGCAGGTAGAGAGGAAAAAAACCACAACCACTTGTGTCTCCAAGACCTTCATACTGCCAGTTTCTTGAGCCTTTCAATATTAAGTTTTCTGTGAAGCACCTTACATGTTTATGGGTAACTGTCAAAAAAAAACCCCAACCAAACATTAAGAAAAAGAAAAAAAAAATTATAATAGTTTTCATCTACTTGAGTATCCTACAGCATGGCCCATGATTCTCCACTTGACAGCAATGCTTTGGACCATTTGTGTAGAATATTGTGTTTTTGTTGTTACATTTTTTAGATAGCATCTGGTGCAATGAGGTGCTGGTTCATCACTAGGGCTTCTGAGCACTATAGTAATATGCTGAATACACAGGAATTGCTGTTATGTACAAAGGATTTCCTCAACTCTTATTTTCACAAGCCCTGATTCAGGACTGCACTTAAGCACATTT